GTTCGGCTTTTGTCTCTTCAGAATATTTTCCCAAATGTCTTCAGCATTGTCTCGATGTTTTGGGCAAATGTGAGACGAGCCTTTGTGTTCTTTACTTTTCCAGCAAGTGTTTTCTCGTTGAACATAGATGCCATTTTTGCCCAGCCTCTTTCTTGTGGTTGAATTATGAACTCCGACCTTAACTGAGACATGTGAAGCCTGTGGTTCCTTAATGTTGTTCTCAGTTCTTTTTTTGACCTCCTGGATGAGTCTCAGTTGCTCTTGGAGTCATTTTGGTAGGCCAGCTTCTCCTGGAAAATATTCACCACTGTTCCAAGGTTTCCCCATTTGTGCATAATGGCTCTCACCATGATTCACTGGACTCCCAAAACCTTAGAAATGGCTTTGTAACCCTCTTCAGACTGATGATTGCCAGTGACTCATGTGTTTCCTTCGATCTTAGCAATATTTGTTGCTCTTGAGATCTTTTAGCTTGCATCAGGGAGGTTCTATTTAGGTGATTTCTTGACTCAACAGGTCTGCCAGTAATCGGGCCTGAGTGTGTTTAGTGAAACTGAACACAGCTTTCCAAAAAATGTGGTTAATCACAGTTAATTCATGATTTAACAAGAGGGGCAATGACTTTTCACACAGGATTAGGCAGGGTTGGATAACCTTTCTCCCTTAAATAATGAAATCATCATTTGAAAAACACATCTATTTACTCTGGTTATCTTTGTCTAATATTACAGTTTGTTTGATGATCTGAAACATGTAAGTTTGATATATAGTGATTAGGGGTGGGCTTTGATGATTGATTTATCGATTAAAATCGATTCTAGCTTGGATAATGTAAAGTTGATTCATTAAAATCCTGAATCGACTTTTAAATCGCCAGAGCCTCAGGTTAAACCTCACAACATTTCAACAACCACCAAACAGCTAAACAGTAAATGAGAGCAGGAACACAGATTCTGCACAGAGACACAAACACAAAGCTCGGACCGCCGACGGATCAGGATCAGTGAGATGTGACTTTCTCACCCGACAGCACGGACACGGTCGGGGCTGAAAGCCGACAGCTCGCTGACTCTGATGTTTTGGCGGGTCCGCGCTTTGTGTTTACGTCCTTTTTGCGCTGATTCTAAAGCTGTTAGTTTGATCTCTCTCCAAACAATATTGACTGAACCAGCAGCAAAAGAAGATACAAACTACGCTTCACATAAACATCGTCATGAATTCCCTCTGACTTTTCCTGTTTTGCTTCCACCACACTTCATGCACAGCTCTCTCTCTCTCTCTCTCTCTCTGTACTTCAAGAACAGTTTCCCGTCTAAAAATCTGTTTTCTGCATTATTCGCTTGCTTGCTATCACAAGTCTGCCGTTGTTTACAGCGCTGTCGGCCGCTGTTTTTTCCTTTTACTTACTTCCGAAAAAGAAAACCTCATTTCTGCTGTTCAATACTGAACAAATTTAAACTTTTTAATTATGCAAAATTGCAAAACACTCAGCTGTGTCTCTCATTAAACCTCTGTAACTTTGCTCTGCATTACTCCAGCAGCATCAGGTAATGTTCATAAGTTGATTAAAGGTTTTCTTTCGTTTTTGATCTACTGCAGAATATTTTTATAAATCCCCGGCCAGGAAAATCACCTCCATGTTTTTCTGTGTTTTATCCTCAGTTACTTTGACACAAAGGCTGTGATGCTCACACTTTTGATAAAAGCTCACAAGTGTCAGCTTTCTTTTTATAGATATAAAAATATGGGAATGTACTGATGCATGATCTGATTTATAATATTTCTGACTGAGGCAAAATTTCCCCGATTCGAATCGAATCTTGGATTGAATCGATTCGGGACCTTGTGAATTGGAATCAAATCGATTCTAGAAATCAGCGACGATACCCAGCCCTACTTGTGATATATAATTTATATATGTATAGTGAGTTGTATGTAAGGCAAGACACCAAGGAAGGAGCAAAGGACATGTAGGCAGAGAGATCAGGCTGGAAAGGATGTGCAGCAGGTTAGAGTGATTGAGGACAAATGAAAATGTGCTACCAATTAGAGAAAATCTACTGAGAAGATGATTCAATTCAATTTTATTCAATTTTATTTATACAGAACCAAATCACAACAACAGTCATCTCAAGGTGCTTTATATTGTAAGGTACACCCTACAATAATACATACAGAGAAAACCTGATGAAAGGCTGAAGATCTGATGAATGAGAGCAAGAGGAGGACAAATAGAAAACAGTTAGTGAATCAGGAACTGCAGGGGATTAGTGAGGAGGAAGTGAGAGCAGCTCTCATAAGGAAGAGTGGAGTTCGGTTTAAGATGGCACAGACAACCAGAGGAATCTGGCTTTACAGCACATTCATTCGTCTGAGGTTGTATGAGAGGCAGTTAGCACAGATGCTGGACACCATCACAAGCAAGAAATCTATTCACAAGCCAATAAAGAGAGAGAGTCAGATAAATGGAGAGAGAGACCATTAAATATGATCTGGGGTTAAGTGAGCAGCACATTAGGGCTGTGCTTAAATCACAGACAATGAGCTCTAGTCCACACAACAGCATTACAGACACATAAAACTGACTGACATCCAGATTCATAGGGACGGAGGATGTGACGGTGCAACACACACGTGTGTGCATTTGCTCAGTGCACGTTGGGCTGATGGCCGATATTAAAACAACTTATCTTGCTCTTCCTTCTGGGTGTAAAGGGAAAGGCTAGAATAAGGGGAACTTGAGAGGACGGGAGAATAACACCCCCACCACCACACACACACACACACACACACACACACACACACACACACACACACACACACACACACACACACACACACACACACACACACACACACACACACACACACACACACACACACACACACACGCACAGTTAATTACACCAGTCCCATAATTCAATAGGACCAAACAAGACAGTTGCTGGGGAATTCTGATTTAATTTACCAACATTTATCCAAAGACAGTTGCAACATTACAAAATACACTAGTAGTGTGAAAAACTGTACATCAGAAAAACTCATGTGCAGATGCAGAGATGGAAAAGGCAGTAAAAGCAGCCACCACATGTGAAGGATTGTGATAGCACGCAAAACTCTAAGGTGGCAAATATCATCAAGCTGAGCACTGTATTGCAGTGGCATATACCACCACCATCAGTGCCTGGAGCCAGTGTGGCTCAGTGCTTTATTTTGTCTTTGAAACTGCCAGGCTCATTTTTCATTACCATCACTGTCAATGAAGCATTATTCATTGTTGAGCTAAGCCCTCTCAATTGCACAGCTATCTCAGCTAACCCAGCAATGAACTCCTAAATAACTGCAGACCAGGATTTGAATATTTCACCACATAATTGGTGCTTTAACATAATCTAGGGGAGCGGGAGCTGGTCTACTTTTCAGACAAGCACGAATCAAAAGGCGCATCAGGATCCAATCGATTGTAATAATGAGGGATTTCTCGCAATCTATAAACAAGTATAATTAGCACAAACCACACTAACCACTCCAACAAACAGCAAGCGCTGCTTACACTGAGACAACAGAATCAGTATACAACTGCATACATTGGAGCAAAATTGCTGTACTATAAGCTGGTTTGTTCCCCTTTAAGATCTCATATCCAACCCAGAGGTTTATTATCACTTCCCCAAAAAGAGAGGCATATTATAACTGCCAGTGGATTTAAAAAAAATACTCACTTATGAAATCTGATGTGATGACTAAAACTAGTACTACCACTAGTTCATTAAACATACACCCCAATCTCCTGCCACCAAACGCTCTCTGTTAGGTTAAAAACAAACACAATCAAGTCAATATTGTCTCAACATGCTATGAATGTATCAGCTGTAATGCAGCTCCTACTGTTTGCCTGTGAAAGCATCACAGAATTTAGCTGACGTCAAGTAGGAGATGGTACTTTGGAGAGTTTCTAAACATTTCTATCACCTCTTACTTTTTTGCCATGTCACACTGAGTGCAGAACCTTCCCTCAGTGGGAAAGCTCATCTGCTTTCAGACTGGACAAACCAGGTCCTGATGTTTCTGATTGACAAGGCCCTTTGTGGATTAGCAGTCTCCAACTATCTGGCATTTCATTGCTTTTTAGTTTGGCATTTAAATAACTTTAAATAACTCTCGGCCTTGATGTCTACTGGCAGATGACAGAAGGGGGAGAAAGGCCTTGCGAGCACCCAGCTTAACTCAGTGCACAAATCTGTGGTTTAATTTACCCGAGGATAAAAGGACACAAGTTGGGTTTACGACATTTATTCCACTTTTCAGACATGTCAAAAACTGGAGGTTGGAGTGAGCCCCAGCCAGACGGATGGGCAGCTGCTGGTCTGCAAAAATCTCCCTGATGAGGATTTGCTTTTGACAATGGCTAAGTCTTCCAGTATTTACAGCTTTTGTTTAGTTTCTCCAATCTGTTGCATTCTATAAAAACTGCTGTAAACAAACACTATTACCATCGAACTCTGAGGCTAAAATCACGATGTGGTTGCTGCACTTTTATTCTACTCGTCACAATTTATATCGAATATATGGCTGCTGAGAGGGGAACAACAATTGTCACTGAGGTTCTGTGAGGACTATCAGAGGCATACATCTGAGGTCTCAAGTTGCATTACAGGGAGATTTAGAGTACAGTACAAAAGTATGATAATGAGCTCCTTCTGTTTGTCCTTCTCTTACCTCTTTTCACTCGCCATGTATTATTGTAGGGTATTTACAAAGTGCCCCGAGGCAACTGTTTTTTGTGATTTGGTGCTTTATAAATAAAATGCACTTAAATTTGAATTGTACTGGTGCAGTAGCTGGATCAAACCACAGAAACACATTGCCATACAGGGATATGGCCATACAGGGGCATAAAGTCAAAGTAACAATGTAACATTTACTGCATAAAAAAATAATACAACTAAATGCTCGTTGCAGAATGACGTTGTTCAGGCACCTTGTTAAATCATACTTACCGTCGTGTACTTGCCAAGCTGGCAGAGGGAGGGGAACGTTTCTTGATGAGCCCTACGGATCTTTTCAATGATTGTCTCCAGCTCAGTTGTCAGCTCGTAGCTCTCTGCCAGATCCGGCTTTGGGCTCTCCTTCTTCTTCTTGTTCCGGTCATTTCTAACAGCTGGAGGAACACAAAAATTTGGATTATCCTCTAAACAAATGTAGCTCTTAGTGAAGCAAACAACATATAAGGCACCCCAACCAATCACAGCAGATGGCCCCGCCCCTCCCTGAGCCTGTTTCTGCCGGAGGTTTCTTCCTGTTAGAAGGGAGTTTTTCCTTCCCACTGTCGCCAAAGTGCTTGTTCATAGGGGGTCATATGATTGTTGGGTTTTTCTCTGTATGTATTATTGTACGATCTACTAACAATATAAAGAGCCTTGAGGCGGCTGCTGTTGTGATTTGGCGCTGTGTAAATAAAATTGAATTGAACTGAATTGAATAGAGGTAGAAATGTGTTGCTAGTAAGCATTTCTTTGATTACAGTTTAGAAATGTAGCCAGTCGTCAAATCAAACAAATCAGACCTTATATAAGGACAAAACCTTTCAGACTGTAGGCGACAGACCAGAAATGAGGTGAAAAATAAAGTAATTGTGGAAGTAACAGAAACTTCAAGGCCTCTAAGGCCACTTTAGGTTGGTTCCAAAAATGAGTCGGTCACCGTAAACCATGGTAAAATACACAACTCTAGCACATTAAAAACCACATTAACAGCCTAATACAAAAACAAGGTTTTAGATTCTAAAGATAGTGTCCCGCTTTATGAAAACTCTCAGGAGGAATAAATGGGCAAATAACTATTTGATCACTTTGTGAATTTGTAAGTCAGAAATGAACAGTCTCTAATTTAATGATTGCTTAATTTTAAGGGTGAGAGACAGAACAAAGGAACAGTAAAAGAAAAACTAAAATCCAGAAAACCCACATTAAAGAAAGGTTATAAAAGATAAAACATCTTCAAAAAGGTGTTAGGATGCCTGGGTCGTTGACCCAGGGGTTTTGAGTTTATTATATTATATTGGTTACAAGATGGCGCTGGAGTGACGGCAGCCTTTCCAAGTACACTGAAAAAAGTGATATTGTCTCCTTTTAAATATAGCATATTATATTTTGGTATATCTTTTCAATTCAAATGAGTAATTCCTGTCTACATATATAATTCGAGTAACTCCAGAATACATTCCCTGCGTTTTAATCCAATTAATTTTAGTTAATTAAATGTAGCTCAAAATGCTTAAGTATGTTTTTCATAGCCTCCTGCTGGGCCATTTTGCGCATGCGTTAGGACAGGCCACCATTTTGCACGCGGACTGAAGAAGCGGACTCTTTGTGTGCTGCAAGCGGGCTCAAGTTAATCGCACAACTTCATATAAAGGTGGTCTAGCTTCGGTAAGTAAACCTTTTACGGTCGTTTTTGTTTTATTTTTTTACCTCAGTCAAAGCATGTTGACTCTTTAAGACGTGTGCACATGGAGAAAGAAGTCTAAGTAGTTGTACACCTCTGAACTTTGTCATGAATTTGACTTAAGCTAGCTATGTGCTCTATTAGCTACTGCTCTATTAAAAGAGTAATTGTATTGATACGTTAAAATGTCATATGTTTTTAGCTTAGTTCTTGTGGCACACTTTGTACTAACAAATTATGGAACGAGGCAATTTCTCTGTAGTTAGCTGTAAAGTTCACTGTACAGTTGCCTGCAGTTTTAAGTTGAGAAATCGTCCCTCCCGCCACAACATTGGCATTAAGGAATAGTCGGGCGGGGGAGGGGGCTTCTGAACGCACCTGCACAGTCAGGGGTGCAGTAGGAAATAAGTAGGACTGGCGTTGCACAACGTCTTTTGTGCAGAAAAAAATAATGGTTGTAAACTGTGGAGGAGAATAACTCAGTGGTTGCCAAAAATGTGAGATCAAAAGGCACTGAGAGTGAGGTTTGTCAGGACTGAAATTAACTCAGAAAAGAAGTTGCTTCACTTGATAGAGCTGTTGAGTGCGAGACCTGTCAGCGGTCTGGTTTAGCATTTAAAGCCTCGCTACGTGCTTCCAAACCGCTGCATTTAATCTCAGAGAAAACTAACACAGAGAAGTAAAGCAAGTGTGTAAGTTCATCTCTTTATGTTTGCATCGTATTTCCATGTTGAGCTTAACAACCGATGTATGGAGCCACAGCTGGACTGGCTGTCAGAGTTTTGTATTGAGGGGGAAAGGAAGCGATTTGTTTTATACTTCAGCTAGAATGAAAAAAGACACAAAGCTGGAGTTTTTCGGTGTCTTCATGCTGAACAGCTAAAACTTCTTCCCTCATTCTCCCCCCTCCCTCTCCTGTTGCTACTTCAATCATGAAACTGATCGATTATCAGGTGATCGGCTTTTCTGTCGCTAGTCTCTCTCATTTGTTAGTCACCCAGTTTGCGCTAGAAAGAGGAAAACGGCAGATAAACAACAGCAGCACGTTTAAGCTTGATAAGCTGTTGCTAGAATTTTTTTAATATTACTTCTAGTATCCGCTTATGTTTTCTGGAGCCACAGCCGTAATAGCTGCTGGTCATGATAGTTTGGATATGTGGTGAGAAGGAAACATGAAGGTGAAACCAGGAGAAGTTTTTACTGAATCATTAGAGCTGAACAGGTAATGAAGAAACAGGTTTACATTTTAGGTCACATGAATGAGTTGAAGGGAAGTTATGAACTGTTTATGAGAGACAAATAACACCAGGATCCTTTTCTATGTAGCTGACATCTGGTAACTGTGCAGGGGCGGATCTAGCAAAGTTTTGCCAGGGGGCCAGGTAGGGCATTAACAGGGAAAGGGAGACACAAAGACATAATTTTCTTTCTTATTCTCATTTAAAATGTCTAGCTTTTAATAAATAATTATTCTAAATCTTACTACCAAAGTGGTGATCTGGTTAAATGTATAGAGATCCATTATTGTATGTAGTAAATATTAAGTCTAATATATGCCCTAGTAATAGTAGTACATATAGCACTTTTTCCTTTGGGAAGGTACGCTGTCTGCGCTGTCTGCAACTGTATTGAAGAAAAATGTTGAATCAAATTATTATAGAAAAATAATTGATTTCTGTGCATTAAAGTAGATTACGTCAATTAAGCATTATCAGGCGAAGGGTGCGGGGTGGTTTCCTAATATTTTTGCTGGGAGTTGGCAGTCCTATTAGTTAGTTTAATATTTCTATGTACTGTTTAGAATACCTGAATAAGGAGGATGGTGTAAGTTTTTTAGGTTGATCAGTATTGCTGAAGTATAAAATATTTTGGGTGCAGTGTATTTTTTGCATACAGGTATAACAGAATAGCTTTAATGTTTTGTTTTTAAAACTGAGTATGAACTAGGGCTGAACGATATATCGCATTTGCGATAATATCGCGACATGATCAAGTGCAATTTTCTAACCGCAAAGGCTGCGATTATACTCTGGACATGTCCAAATTCATGGGCTGCATCCTCCTGAGGCCGCATTTGTAGACCGATTACGTCACAGCGACGTGCCGAAGGCTGTCCAAATTACTACCATATCCCAGAATTCATAGCGCGGCCCAGCCAAACTCCAGTTTCCAGCAATGGCGGCCGCTACTAAGTTTTAAAATTACTCATACTAATCTTTCTGGGTCACAAAATAAACTTTTAACATATTTTCAGGCGAGAAAGTAGTTGTGTAAACATCAAATATCTGCTCGGTTTATCAAGATATCCCATATTTGCAAAAGTGCTTCGACGTTTTCAGAGGCGTCTGCTACCCACCAGCTCGACAGCTAGCCGGGAGCTCGAGGGTTACTGATGCGGCCGAGAACGGCACAACTCCCGGCACATCATTTTCAGATCACCGCGGAGTTTCGCTGCTCGGGTTAAACGTAATATATAAGTCACTTAGACAACCTAAAAATGTTATTGTTGGGCTTTTTTCAGTGTTTTGTTTGTTCGTGAGTAAATCGGTTTGGCTGAGATTAAAGTTATTAGATTAGATAAAATAAAACTTTATTAATCCCCCGGGTGGGTTCCTCCTTGGTTTTCACACAGCTGACTAAACGTCAAACAGAAAACTTATTAAACAGAAGTATGAGACAGTCGAGAATTTACACCAGTGTCTGGTTATATTTTAGATAGCAAGAAGCAGACGGCCGAGTTTATTAAACTCCACCGAGACAGCGGTGACGCTAATCAGAACTAGACCGTCCAATTTCACGCCTTTAAATTTTAAAGGCGTGTTTGTGTGTGTGTTTATACAATTGCTATTATGTTTGCACTTTATGTGTAATGTTACTGACTGCAGAGATCAGTAAGATGTGTGTATTTTTTATTTATTAGTTTTATTTATTTAATATTATTTTTTAATTGAATGACTGTCTAGTAGTTCACAGATGTTGAAAAACTGAGTGTGGTAAAGCCACTGATTTTGTTTATGTATATTTCTGCAATCTGCACATTGTACTGACTTTCATTTTAATGTTTACACCAGGGTTCCTTGTCAGCACTTTATGCTCAGATGTTTGTAAGCTAAAAATAAACTATTGTGTATGTTCAAATATACTGTTGTGATTGAAGAAGTTAAATAAAAATGTCAGTCATCAATTCATGCATCACCTCATGTCATCATAACAGAGGTCTGTCTTCCAGGAAAGAACAGTTTAAAATTAATGTAATATAGTATTGGCCATACTATATGATGTATTGCTTGTCTTTGTTTAATAATACAGAAGACAAAGACCTTAAAAAAATAATCGCATATCGCATCGCAATCGCAATATTGGGGCAAAAAATCGCAATTAGATTATTTTCCATAATCGTTCAGCCCTAGTATGAACTTATACAAAATGCAGCAAAATATTTATAAAAACAGTTTTATTTATTATAAAATACACTATATCGGATTCATATCGGCATCAGCAGATAATCAAATTTATGAAATCGGTATCGGACATAAAAAAGTGGTATCGTGCCATCTGTAGTTTGCACAGAGGCACAAGTAAGATTTGTTTTGTTACAAGGGAGTATCATGAAGTAATGCACTAATGGCTTGGAAACGGTAATTGTTTGTCTTTCTAAAGTTTATTTTTTTTTATTTGTCTTCCTTTTCTGGCAGATTTTCTTCCCCTTATGTG